CAGACCCTACCATCAGCTCTGGCTGCTGTCACACACCACCATAAGCCTGGGCTACGGCCTGCTGGGGTGCAGGGGACCGTGGCCCTGGCCCGGAGCTAAGTAAGCTCTTGGGCTCACACTGGCCAGAGCCCAGGGCTCTCTGAGTCCAGCTGGGCCAAGCCACTGCCCTCTGCTCCCTGCAGTGCTAGAGCCCGGTGCTGCTGATCCTGGGGCCTGTAGCTCCGCCTTCGCGGGCTGGGAGGTGCACACACGGGGCATAGGCTCCAAGCTGCTCGCCAAGATGGGCTACGAGTTCGGCAAAGGTGAGTGTGCTGCCCTGGGGGCGGGGGCGGGGGGGCTGCCCCGGCACCACCCAGGGGCCTGGCAGCTGCAGTGCCCGCCTGCTATGCCCGCAGGTCTGGGCCGCCACGCAGAGGGCCGGGTGGAGCCCATCCACGCAGTGGTGCTTCCTCGGGGCAGGTCTCTGGACCAGTGTGCCAAGGTCCTGCAGCAGACAGCCAAGGGCCGCAAGGCTGGCACCAGCAGGCCCCCAAAGTGCCGGGGCCGAGCGGGCAGCCCTAGGGGCCGCCCGCCCCCTCGGAGCGTGTTCGACTTTCTGAACGAGAAGCTGCAAGGCGAGGCTCCCAGGGCCCCAGATGCAGGGGTGGCCCCCGCAGGGAGGTGCAGCGGCAAGGAGCTGTACCACGCCAGCAGGAGCACCAAGCGGGCCCTGAGCCTGCGGCTCTTCCAGACTGAGGAGAAGATCGAGCAGGCCCAGCGGGACATCCGAGGCATCCAGGAGGCCCTCGCCCGCAACGCCGGCCGGTGAGTGCGGGGCTGAGCTCAGGAAAAGGGCGGGCCCCAGGGACCTCGCCTCTGGCCGTGCTTCGGGCGCCTAGTCCACAGTCCTGCGCAGGAGCCCACCTGGACCTCAGGGTGCCAGGCTGTCTCAGGGGGGTCTGCATGACTGGAGCATGATGGGCAGTGACCACAACAGCCTGGGGGCTTTGTGGCAGTGGCCCGGGAGCCCTCTCTGAGTGGCGGCGTCTCTGTAGGCACAGCGTGACAGTGGCCCAGCTGCAGGAGAAGCTGGCAGGAGCCCAGCGGCAGCTGGGGCAGCTCCGGGCCCAGGAGGCGGGCCTGCAGAGGGAGCAGAGGAAGGCAGACACCCACAAGAAGATGACAGAGTTCTAGAGTCACACACGCACCACGGAAGAGCCAGTGTCACCCAACTACCAGAAGCCACCAGGGGAGGGGCTGGCCCACTCCCAGGCCAGACTTCGTGGTCAGCCTTCTCGCCAGCCGGGGGGCGTGTGGACACCGCTCAGTGGAGATGGGTTGCAGGGTCACTTGGTGCTCATGTGCCCGCTGAGCCTGCCCGCCCGCGTCCCGGGAGTCTGCTTAGCAAGGACGGACATTAAAATGATTGTGCTGAGGTGTTTTCTAGTGGAGGCTCAGCTGGCTGTGGGGTCTCTCTGGAGAAGGGGGTCTCTGTGTGGAGTTGAGGGCTGGGCTGGAGGGGTCCCGAGTCAGGCCACTGCCCTGTCCAGAGGCAGAGGCCCAGGGGCGCTGTTGTTTTTCCTACTCTTCCCAGATGGGGCTCTGAGGTGGGTTGCCACCTGATACCCACAAATGGGTGGAACATGGTGGGAGGAGACTGGCCCATCCGGGCAGGACCTAGGGGTGCTGGGACCCCGAGAGCCTGGATTCAGCCCCAGCCCCTGGCAGCTATGAGACTGTCTCCTCTCCAGTGCATGGCCATCTCATCCCGGGTGGAGGTGACAAGTCAGGCTCTCGGAACAGTGCTGGCTTGAAGCACACACCGCTGAGTGACGTCTAGATCCCGGGTGGGGGCCGCAGCAGGTGGGTGAGGCTGCTGTGGTGGCTGCAGCGGGAGTAGCTGTAGCGAGGTTGAGATGCAGCCAGACCCACAGGCAGGAAGTGAGCTGGGGAGCTCCGCCAGGGGCTGCTCCTGGGCCGCTCTTCAGGGCGCCAGGCTGCCCTGCCTGCCCAGCGGGCCTCGGGCGGTGCGCTGCACCCGTGGCCGTGATAAGTGCCATCTCTGGCCTCCAGCCTGGCCAGGTCTTCAGGCCCCTTGGTGCCCTCCTGGGGGCAGGTGAGGGCTGGGTTCTGGGAGGATTAGGCCCTGCCACATCATTGTGATGGGACCTAGGCTGTGACCACGTGAGCCGACCTGGGCCTGCATGCACGGGAAGCCCACCCCTGGATCTGGGTAGACTGGGTTACAGACTGCCAACAGATAGTGGGGTGGACCCCCATCCCCTGGGGCCTTGCTAAGACCTCAGAAGGGAGACAGATCCATGGCAGGGATGGGGGTAGGGGAGGAGGGCCGGCTGGCAGTGGGGTGGCCAGTGCCCAGTGCCCCTGCTGTCCTGACTTCCCAGGCCTTTGGGATTCTAGGCTCTGCGGTGAATGGCCAGGGGGCATTGCCCAAGACAGACCTGGGCAAGGTGTGGCTGCAGATGAGTCTTTGGCTTGTGTGGCTCACAAACTCAGAAATGTGACCTCAGAGGCCTCCCCAGATCTCAGGTTTGGGCTGCAGTGGTCTCAGCCAGGCCTTGGCCAGATCACAGCTGCCCCACCCCGGTCCCCATCACTGGCCACACTCTGCGGCCATTTGGGTCATCCTGACGACTCAGGTACTCATGGGCGGGCAGAGCACACCTCTGCAGGAGCCCCCAGCAGAGGCAGGAAGGGGGGCCCCGAAGCTGTGCCCTCTCGGCCCCTGTAGGAGGGAGGGGCTGTGGAGCCTTGGGGTTTCCTGTGTGCTGAGTCAGAAGGCCCGGGGAGGAGGCGGCCCGGCAGTGTGAGGTACTCAAGTGAGGCTGCCAGGTGGGCGCCCCGTCCCTCGGTCAGCCCCAGCTCCGATCTTCTGCCCCCAGGCTGGTCCGGGGCTTCGCAGCATGGGGCCACAGGTGCCCTCGGCCCCTTCTGCCCTCTGGGCTCTAGGGTGCCTCGCCCTGCTCCTCTGGCTGTGGGTGCTGTGCACAGCCTGCCACAGGTACGTTCATCCCTTGCCCAGGTGCCATGTGAATCCTGGCTCAGTTTTGCGGCCAGAGGGGGCGGGGCTCGGGCAGGCCCTCCTTGGACCAGAGGCTGGCGCCCCGCCCCCACTTCTGCCTCACGGGCCTGATGACCCTCTTGCCAGCAGGAAGGCGGCGCGGAGGCAGCAGGCCAGGCTTCAGGGCTGGGGGATGCCGGCAGAGGCGGTGAGTGCCAGGCTGTCCCGGGGCCAGGGTGGGGCCGACAGGGGACCGACCAGCCTTCCTTGCCCCCAGTCACTGCTGAGACGACCCCACCTCTGCTCCCTCAGCAAGTCAGATACCAGGCTGCATGAGCTGCACCAGGGCCGGGGAGGCTGCACAGGTAAGCCCAGCCAGGAGGCCCGGGCTGTGGGCGGGTTTGCTGCACTGCATCCCCCCAACCCAAGTGACCTCTGCCCTGACCCCACCACCCCCAGCCCCACGGCCTGCCAGCATGGATCTCCTGTGCCTGCAGTATCTTGAGATGTCCAGAGGCACCACCAGGCCCCTGGCAGCCTTCTCGCACCGGGAACTGCCCCAGCCCTCCATCAGCCCTGAGGCCACCTATTCCAACGTGGGGCTGGCTGCAATCCCCAGGGCCAGCCTGGCAGCCAGCCCTGTGGTGTGGGCAGGGGCACGGCTAACCAGCAGCTGCGCCAGACCTGGGCCTGAGGCCAGGCCCGTGGTGCCGGAGTATGCTCGCATCCAGAAGCTCAAGGGAACAGGCCAGGGGCCCCAGGGCGTGGAGCAGCGGCAGGCTGAGGGGACCCCAGCCACTCAGGTAAAGAGGGTGTGGTGTGGATGGGTGGGGCTGGGCAGATCCTTAGTGGCGTGGATGGTGCTGACCCCTCTCTGGGCTGGCTTTCTCTCTCCAGGTGGACATTCTATACTCCAAGGTCAACAAGCCCAGAAGGAGGGACCCAGAACCTGTCGTAGACCAGCTGGACCCCAAGAGTCAGGGAGCGATTCCGACTCTGGGGAGTAACGTGGCCTATGACAGTCTCCCACTCAGGGGCGTGAGCGGGGACAGGGGCCTCCTGGAAAACGTGTATGAGAGCATCCAGGAGATGGGGATCCCTGAGCGCCAAGAGCCCCCCAGACCGGGCTGTTAGCATGAGTGGACAGGAAGGCCTCCTGCCTCCCCCCCTGCCTCAGCCTGGGGAGGGGTCTCCATCTCCTCCCTGCCTGAACACCCAAGTACAGACGTTCCTTCCTCCAGTGTGAAGCCTGAATCCCCTCTTCCCTCACAGCCTCCCCGCCCACACACACACACAGCTGGCAGCACAAATTCCAGGTCCCTGGGGTCTGGGCTGCCAGGCCTGCCCGGGCCAGCGTCCTAATAAATCCCAGCACAGGGAGGATGAACACCAAGTGCCTCGCGGCCTTCCCTTCATGAGAGCCTGCGGGCGTGAGTGTGTGTGAGGCGATCTGGAAGGAGTAAAGACCTGCCCCTGACCTCGGGGACAGATTCCCTCCCTCCCGGGGTGCCTGGGCCATGTCACCTAAGCTCAAAACTGTGGAGAGCCAAGCGAGCCTCGGGGTGGTGGTTCCCAAGCCGGGTCGGTCCTGGGGAGGACTGCAGCCGCCCGGCAGGGTGGCCGCCCCAGGGTGGGACTTGGACCCTAAACGCCAAGGGCGGGCTCTGCCGCACAGCCCCTGGGGTTACGTAAGGGTTGGAGGAGGTGGGCAGTCGCGCGTCGAAGAATTACCTGCTCCCGGGAAGCCCGCCCAGGGCACGCGGCCCCGCCCCGGATCCGGCAGCTCTGCGCGGGCACCCTGGCGAGGAAGCCAGCCCTCCC